ATAAGCTTATGCCTTATGAGTGTAGGACCTCTGCTCGAGAAGGAATTTTCAATATGGTGCCATTTTTCGTAAAAAATGTAATCGTTGATAACTCAAATATAAGTTGACGGATTTGGTTCAAATTTTATGCTAATGCCTAGGAACAAAGGAGTTTCGCACTAAAACAGATTTTCAAGATGGCCGCTTATTTCTAAATGGCGGCCATTTTTCGTAAAAAGATGTAATCTTTTTGATTACTCAAATACCGGACAGACGGACGGACGGACAGACTGACTGACTGACGGACGGACGGAGGGCTTCACTATATCCCTACCGAACTTCGTTCGTTGGGATAATAAGCATAATATGTTTTGTTCGGTGGGATTTGCTACTCCGTGGAGTTGCTGTTTTTCTAGTTTTTATGTTTATGGGATACTATGTATTACAGCTCAAACATTTCAGACATGACTTTACCAAAGAAAGACTTACATAACTTGCAAATGAATTGCGCAAATTGAGTGGTGAAGGCAATGGCTTTGGAGTCTATGGCTATAGTGTTAGAAGTCAAAGGTTTCAGTAAATGTGATTATGAAAGGCATTACTGTAATGCCTATTAATTAATATATTTACTGTTTACAGCATTGATTTACATATATATGATACGTTATAGGGATAAAGATTTGCTAGCATTTTTTTGCAGCCATCTTTGTTCCAAAGAAATTAAGGGTGAAATATGGCTACTTGTATGTGAAAACAAGCATTTTTGCACCAATTTTGAAAAATGATTGATAACTCCCAAAATTTAAACATGTTACAATGTTATTTTCTTAATCTAGTGGCCTATGCCTTGCCTTGGCAAAAATCAACATGATAATTATTTCCCTGACTTGATACAAGGCTGCTTGATTAATATACATTTACTTTTGTGTGTGTATTTATATGTACAGTAGACATGGTAGAATATAACTAGTATCTTAAATATAAAGTGCCATGTAGTTTTAATTTTACATACCCAGACTATTGTACTAGGCTCATCTGGCACATTGTTCAAATATTTTCTTAATATTGAGATGTATTATATATTTTTTAAGTATGTCTCTATTTATGGACATTTTTGTGTCATGACTTTGTTACATCAATTGGAATTATCCCAACAAACAAAATTTGGAATAGATATAGTGAAGTGTGCAAATGCGTGCAAAACTAGAATACTAGGTGATGTATAGGGACTCCCGAAAGTATGTCCCAATAGCAGACATATACCACTGCTTCATAGTGTGTGTCACATGTCATTTTAAAGGTTATCCAAAGTTACATTGATTTGCCAAGTATCATGGTTTAACTCCCAAATGGTAAAAAGTTACAGTCATTTTAAAAGTTAGTGTTTGGCCAAAATAAAGTTCAATTTTACACCACATTACTAGTCAGACGTAGACATGTTTTTGAAGTATAGCTTTATTATACTCAAATGAAAGGCAATTTAGAGTACATTGCAAATATTGTATCGTTTTTTTTTATTTCGACCTTCTAAAATTCAACATGGCTGCCTAATGTGGGATTTCGCAATTATTTTCTGATCTCTCAAAAGTATGGCTATATTATACTAAAATGGAAGGAATTTCAGAGTAGATCATAAATATGGCATTGTTATTTTCATATTTGTACCTCAGAAAAGTCAAAATGGCTGACTAGAGCAGGGATTCGCCATTACTTGGAGTTCTCTTTAAGGACAGGGTGCATGTTGGGAAATTTTCTGCATTCCTCAATTGAGTCACATGTTATTTTTCAAACATGAATATAACTCATCCCACATTGTCTACATCTTCCAAGTTTGCACAAAGAGTGCACTTCTGTGCCTAGAAAAGCTTTGTGAGAAGGTTTGTTTTGTAAAGTGTATAAAAAACAAGAAAATTCAGTGAAAAAAATTTCTGAAAATTTTCTGATTTTTTTCACTGAATTTTCTTGTTTTTTATACACTTTATCAAAACATTCTTCTCACAAGTCTTTTCTAGGCACATAAGTGCACTCTTTGTGCAAAACTGGAAGATATAGACAATGAAGGGAAGGAGTGATTCTTGTTTGAAAAATAACATGTGACTCAATTGAGGAATGCAGAAAATTTCCCATCATGCACCCTGACCTTAAAGTATGGTTACATGATAGTACAATGATCTCAAATATTTATTGAAGGGAAGAGTAGATGGTACATGTAAATATTAAATTGTGACTGTACAGTTTCATGATTTATATATTGTTCGTTGGGATTTGCTCCTCCGTGGAGTTGCTGTTTTCTAGTTTATTTTGTGGGAAAATAGTTATTTTCTTTAATTCTTACATATTTGTGCAATATTATTTTGTCCATTCGTATGTTTTCAAGGTGATAACTCAAATACAAAATGTACTGGTTTATTTAGATTTATATGCAAATGCTGTAGCATTTTGTGAATCTGGGCTTCAAAAATTGCAAATGAATGGTTAGTGTGGTTTTTTATTTATTAAATTATTTATTCAACATATACAAAACTTACAAATTTCATCTAGTATACAAATCCATGTACATATTTAAGAATACAGGATCAAAATGTAGCACTAGTATAGGCCAGGCCTATTACTTCATTTTACATTTTTGTGATAATGAACATATTCTTGTATGATTCTGAATCACAGATACAGGGTATTTTAGAAAGAATGCAACCCACAACATTGCATATCTTTTCAACCAGTAAAGCTTGAAAAGTAGTTTTGAACAAAACTAAAGTTGGTTCAATGTTCTAAGAGTCCAGTAAGTATCATCACTGTCACATATGTATGTCTCATTTACTGCCCATATAAAGAATGTGCTCCAAATGGCTAGCACCTCTCTTGCGAATGTCCATGTTATCTCCAGTTTCACCTCTATTATGATTCTTTGAGGATGAGAGCCATATCTACCAATGCATACACAAGTGTTGTTAAAAACATTTCACAAATTGTGCTGTCTGCAGAAAAGTTTGGGAAATTGGGGCAGGTTCTTTAAATGGCCACCAAATGGGCCATACACAAGCTCTGTGATGAAACTTTGTCAACTTGAAGAACAGTGAACCAATGTCAGTTATGCAAAGGACATTTCTCAAACCTGTCTGTTAAAAACATGCATTGTTAGGTGGGTTTCATTTTTTAAAACCGTGTATCTTGGACTTCAGTGAATTTTTTTAAATCTCCTGTTATTAATATTACCAGAGATTATGAATACATACAAGTATAATAAATTGTCTTTTTCAAACTAAACATAAGGCAAGATATACAGATAATGTATCTTCATTTATTAGAAACAGTTTTGTATTTTTACAAATACACACTTCATTACCACGTTACAACATTTTAAAATGATACAGGGTACAGTTAAGCTGCAAATGGAGCGGGTGTTCTCTATCTTTGTTCATTGGACTTTTCTGGTAACGATACGTTGCAAACTGCTCGATCAATCTATACATATTTATTTAAAATCTAGTATACCTTCAGAGCTATGGAAATGAACAAACTTCATCCTTTTGCAACTTCGCTGTAGCCTGTATTTCTGTTAAAGCAACAGAACATACAGTATAGGGGTATAGTAGTATGAAATGAGAGAGGCTTTAAGCAGTTATTCCTCTCCCAAACCTGTTTACATACGTGTAGATTGTATTTCATTCATGAAGAAATAAGTGTCCACATTGAATTAATGTTTTTAGAGCAAGTCTGAATATTTCCTATGGATTATTTCCCCAAGTTAAATGTATTGGCCTAAGATCACATGATAAAAATGCAATACATTGATTTGAAGTGATATACAGGATGTATTGTGCCTTTATAAATTGTGCATTGCCACGAGACGAATACTATTTATAATATATACCTTGTATTCCATACCTACTGAGGTTCTATGTACTTAAGTAGCTCTTAATTAGTATACTGCCAGGTTTTAGATATGGGATTATCCCCCAGGAATTATGTAGATTCCCTTGATGTCTGTGGTCCCTCGGGAGGAACACATATTTCCCTTGGGATAAACACTGTATTCAAAACATGTCAGTTTATTACATTACCCTTATATATGATTTACCTCGCAGTCCATAATCCTATTTTTGGCCTTCTCAAAGGCCTCTTCCATTTCGACTGCCTCACACAATTTTGTTGTTGATTTCCTTCCGTCATTCAGACCACTCCATCTGAAATGGGGAAAAATGTATTTTACATATGTTAAACTCTTTTTGTACTGCAATATTAACATGAATAATAAATGGATTTCATGTAAATTTATAAACACATTTCTTGTTTTATTTTATTTTATTATCACATTGCTTTTCAAGTGTTTCACAATAGGGAATATAATTTCAACATTGTCTCATGGAACAAACTAAAAATTACCAGGGATAAAATTTTAATGTTAGGCCCCTTCAA